GAAATAACTATACTATATGATGTATTTTGATGAAAAGAGTTCAAAAAATTTCGGCAATAATTTCGGCAAATATGAAATTAATTTCGGCACTATATAAGCCTAATTTCGGCAGCCTAAATGCCGTAATTCCTTTTTTTATTAAGATGGGCAATTTAGACACACATGTATAACATAGAGGCACAACATGACTTTCATAAATGCGCCTTTTTTCATTGTTCTTTAAGTGCGCATTGTTAAAGTTTGGTCCCAAATGCATTTATAGAGGTTTTACTGTCAAAACTTTCGATATTATTCCCTGTCCGATTTTTTGTGTAATATTATTTATATAGAATTTTTGAGTCATTAATTTGACCAGGGTGTGAACAGCAAATATGATCCTTTATTGAAAAATACTGTTTTACTAGTTTATTATGTAGAACATATATATATACTATGGTAAAAACGGGTTATTAACATTTTGCATGAAATCTAAGAAATTTCAAAATCCAAACTGCAATACTACAGTATAATTTTTTCAAATCAAAAAAAGTTATAAATCATCGGTCGCTCGTCGTTCAACAAAACATCTAATTACCTAATACTATTTGAATTTTCTACGTTTAATCCTACATAATTATCTTATGGTAGAACATTACATTGTTGCAAAAGTTAATGTAGCGATACATATGGGTTAGCGATTTAATATAAGAAATATTCTAGTGATTAAAAAATATATATATCTTGGGGAACGTTATTTGTTATCAACATTTAAAAAAAAGTTTAAATTAAAATAATGTTTTGGGAGCTCTGTGCTCTAGTTAGATGTTTATCAAAATTGGTTACTATATATTTAATATAATTAATACAAAGATTAATACAAAGTGTTAATTATAACTTTAGAACAAAATATTGAACGAAAGGATTGTATAAAAAAAAAGATAAAGCTAAGGCAAATCAAAGATATCTAGGTGAAACAATCAAGTTATCAGTTTATGAAGTATTTTGATACAATCGTTTTTGCAATGTTTTCCATCTAACTAAACAAGAATTCGGTGTACGACCTTTGAGACCTTTAGCAATTCGATTCCAAGCAGGAGAGGTCATTTCATCCAAAATAAAATCAATCATATAGTTATCTTCATCAACTTTCCAGGCGGTTTTCTTTTTCGGATATTGACCACTTTTACCCTTTTTCTTCGTGGATGGTTTCTTTTCTACCTCTTCATAATCAGAGTCGCCTGCCTTATAATCATCGTCGTCATCATCTTGATCGTGATGAGATTCATCTGATTCGACTTCATCTTCGAATTTGATGCTAGGTTTACGGCCGCGACCTCGTTTTGGTGGGGTTTGATTGGATGAATTTGATGCTGTCGATTTTCTACGTTTAGAAACTGGTGAACTCATTTTTCGAGTTGATGGTCTGGTCCTTTTGGTAGGCAGTGGTTCAACAGATTCATCAGACTTATTTTCATCATCATCGTCAACGTCTGGAGACTCTTTATCTTTTGTGGGCTGTTCTTCATTTTTGCTCTTTTCCGTGGGTATAGTAGATGATTTTTCCTCATTCTGAATTTATAGTATGTGCATGACAATAATTCTTAAAGAATATAATAAACGAAAAAAAATTTTTTTTCTTATTTATTAAGTACATTAAATACTCACAGTATCATTATCACTCATAGGCATAATTTGTACTTCTTGTGTCATTTCAGGCTCTTCTACTACTTTCGTGTCTTGTTCATCCCGTAATGTTGAATTTTTTGCTTCTACATCTGAAGCCATTTAGTACTATTCTTTAAAAAGAAAAAAAAGTAGACTTATATATAACAAAAGTATAGAATAGAATGAATGATAAAACTTTAAGAGATAATCGTTGAGAAGGTGAAAAAGAAATTCATCGACAAAATTCATCAAAGTAACACTTTTTAAACTAATGAACAAAAGCATTAATCACTTTGTTTTTTATGTCATTAAAAAAATAATTTTAAAAACTTTCGCGTCCTTTAACATACTTGATTGGTATAATGATCAGTGAATGATAGAAAGACTAATATATGTTTTATTGTTAGTCAATTGAAATAAAAATAGCTATCACTATCAAACAATATCAAATATATATTTACATTTCAAAACTATATCAAAAAAGTGAAATATGCGTGACGTTAAGTATCTAGTTCAATGAATCCACACCTTTTAATTCACGAGATATTTTAAAGCATAACTCGCATAGAAAAATGTATAATACCATCATAATTACAAAAAAAAATGCATTCCTTTTAAATGTTCTAATTATTAATGTATTAGATATCATAAGTAAAATAATTCATTGATTTAAAATCATTTCTAAGTAGGTTTCTGGTACGCCCATTGCTACTCTATTGCAATATGCGAGTCCTTCGTCAAATGATCTAAACATCACCATAAAAACTGCACCGACACTTGCACAGAGTACTACACAGAAAAACACAGCGTCTCCTATTAATACAAGTATCGGTATGAGAATGGACCCTGTTACTGTGGTTATAAATGATTTAAAGTTGTATCCCGCATTAATTCCAATATAACTTTTCCAAAGCGCATATTCAAATTTACAGACCATTGGAAAGTACAACATGAGAAAAGTAACCACTGTTGTGGGAATTGTAATAAAAAAATATACTGGACAAATTAATAGTGGGAAAAGAATGAAACTGCTCCAACTTAAATCTCTAGTTGGACCCGTATAACTCATTATATTATTAACTTGTTGAGGAACCAATGAATTACATTGATCCCATGTTGACGAAGAAAGGTCTAAAGCTGATCTAATAGGTTGAATAGGTTGAATAGGTTGAATAGGTTGAATAGGTTGAATAGGTTGAATAGGTTGAATAATGGTCGATTCTCCCGCATTTGTCCACTGGTCTTCATCTTGGTTTATTTTTGAAATGCTGCGATTTTTATAACGTTGGTAAGTATAATAAACCATCGCTGCAGATGGCGAAAATGTATGATATGGTTCGTTTGGTTTATTAAGATGTTCTTTAACTGGGAAAATAAGGGTAATCCAAATAGTATAGCAAAACGAAACAACGATCCCAACGGGAAAATATAATAATATTGGAATAGGTGAAAGTATAAAAATTATTAATTTAAGATTTGGTCCGATATATCTATTTGCAAAAATAGTATAGTAAAGGTTTACAACATTATTGGGAAAGAATATGATCAAGACAAAAATGTTTGGCAAGGAGCATGCGAAAAAAACTGGTAAGAAATAAATTATAAAATCGATGAGAATCAAAAATATGCTAAATGCAATGCGATAGATGGTACAACTTTTAACCATTTTTTTTTTCCTTTTCTTTCTTTGGAATACATATTTCTACATCAATTATTTATATTTCAATCCCGAATGTTTTTTTATGCACGTACTGAAATGTCAAACGCAATGGACCACTACGTGACAATCCTTAATTATGTGCCACACCATCAAACACCACCAAATGTCATCAAAAACAAATCAAACGCATCACATGGCATAAATTGTAACAATTAAAATATATTTTCGTTCGTGCAGATGCGAAACAAATAAATCGATCTACAACAGAAATTAAGATCAAATATATACTATCGCTATAATTATTTTATTTTACCATATAAAAAAACGTCATAGGTTGGTGATCATGGCCTTATTAACTACAACCGATTTTTTAACGCCCAACACTAAATTCTATCTGGTAACTCTGACTCAGATGCTGCATCTGATCAAAACTTTAGAATTTATTGCATAGACAAAAATTACTGATCATAGATGGAAAGTCACGATAATTTCATCTTTACTAAATAGTCAATCATATTCTTTGATATATATCTTTCAAAACTTAACTACAGTCAATCCATATTGTGTAGAACGCTGAAGGATAATAGTCGAAATGAACAAACTGCCTTATGAGAAATACTTCCTGTACGCACGTACTTTAAATCAATAAATCTGCAAGTAAGTATTTCAAATATTTGTGTTGTACAATGTCAACTATATGCTTTAGTGGTTCATTAAAAGCAACAAATAATTATACGTAATTTTGTCATGGTACGTACATACGTATGCACATAAATGATTACTAATAACGATATCGACTGGTCATACAATAATCACGAGTCATATGGCTAAATTGTGAGAAACTCCAGCGTCACCAATAGTCGAGGGCGCAGTCACATGATTTCCAACCTCGCGAAGCTACATATGTGATATTTTACCCATATGTGATATTTTACCAATGTGTGATAATTGACCAATAAAAGATCATAATTTAGCCTAACGTCTCTAATGAAAAGTAACCTGATTAAAATTCGATGATTTTAATCGGTTATCATCCAGTTTGAAAATGGTGTGATCTTTGCATATCATAATTTTTTGTGAAATTATAGAAAATCACCAGTTTCTTGCAGATTTTTTGAAGATTTCAATCAACTATAGACATTGCTGATTGTAAACATGACCGAAATTTCCCATTGTCATTATCGCGAAAGTCACAAGGTTTCACCTTTTTACAAAACGCCATAAATACAATGGAGATTTTTATCGATTATAATCGATATCGATATAATTATAATCGATAGTCAATTTAATTTGACCACATGTAAACATGTTGATTATAATCGATCGTTATCAATCGGTTTCAAAATTTCTCGATGTCAGAGCCATTTTACTATACAGCTTGCTAAACATCTAACCTTAAACACTTAATTGATAATCCTGCGAAAGGAGAATCCTCAAAATAGATTTTATATATAACAGATATTATCATTTCTGACTATGTAGAGTAAATGTTTTATTAAACTAACCTTTTTGAGGAGGAACAGAATTCAGGTAATTTCTAGTTACTAAGAGGCTATAACACCCATGATTCAAATATTAGCTAATTAAATTTAATTATAAAAATATATGGT